CAAACATCTTCTCAGACCACAGTGGAATGAAGCTGGAAATAGGCAACTCAGGAATCTCTGGAGCATATGCAAACACATGGAGATTGAACAACATGCTCCTGAATGAACAATGGGTCATAGAAGAAATCAAAAGAGAAATCAAAAACTTTCTGGAAGCAAATGAAGATGACAATACAACATATCAAAACTGATGAAATACAGCAAAAGCAGTGTTAAGAGGAAAGTTTATAGCAACAGATGCCAACATCAAGAAATTGGAAAAGCCCCAAATAAATGCATCTCAAGGATGCAGAAAAATAACAGTACCGTAAATTTTAGCCAGAGCCATTAGGCAAGAAAAAGAAATCAAAGGGATACAAATTGGGAAGGAAGAAGTCAAACTATTCCTCTTTGCAGATGACCTGATTCGATACATAGGGGATCCAAAGAACTCCACTAAGAGACTATTGGAACTCAAAGAAGAGTTTGGTAAAGTAGCAGGATATAAAATCAACACACAAAAACCAACAATCTTTATATACAGAGACAATCCCTGATCAGTGACAACTAACTGAGCACCTAAAAGGAAACCTGTAGAAGTGAAATTGACACTATGAGAAGCAATGACTAGATCAGACCTTGTACTGACTGTCAAAAGCTTACTATTTTCTTTTCACTATTTTTTCTACTTAATATCATTGATTGAAATATTTACTTAACAGAATTATTTTTAGGTGTTTAAATCCAATTGAAAATTTATCCCTGTTAAAAATAAGAGTGGAAATAAGAGAGGGAGGAGATGTACAGTTCGGCATACATTCCCTCGGACTTACCGCTAAGGGTAAAGCTAAAAACTTGCCATGAGACTCTAAATCCCATTAAGTTGGCAGATACCAATGCCATCTTACTAGTTAAAGCGATCAGTTTAAGTGCATAACTGATCATAAAGATAGGAATAAGTGTCAAAGGAATCACAAAAATAAGATCAAGTGTCTGCTAATAATAATAGATAGAATAACAAAGAGAATGATCCAACATGGGAAGCAGGCCACACAGCAGAGTCATAGAATGATGAATGCCCTAAACAACACTCCAGCCTCAGAATCAGCCCTTAAGGCATTCAGATCTGGCTAAAAAGCCCATGAGATTTCAGGCATGGAAAGCCAAGACACTGTGGAAAAAAAAAAAAAAAATGACCTAAATGAAAGATCTCTGAGAGTGAGATCCTGGTGGAAAGAAGGGGACATTACTTCCACTTTGATAATGGACCTGCCTAAATACTGATGGAGTTTGTGGACTCAAGAGGCTTCTGTAGCCTTGGCAGTTCATGACAAGAGCCTCCAGTGATCACTGACATCATAAATAAGGGTGTCAATTGTTAAAACAACAGGAATCACTGTGCACTTGCTCCCCATGTAGAATCTCTGTCCTTAATGAGTTGTACTATGAGAATTAATGGTAAAGCAAGTCTTCAAACAGTACTTTATGCTTTGTGTGTCTGTGTGGGTGTAAACTGTTGAAATCTTTATTTAGTATAGAGTTGATATTCTGTATATAAAGACAATTAAAAATGAATCTTAATGAAGAATGTTACGGGAGAGGGAGTAGGAGGTGGGAAGGGAGTGGGGGTGGGAGGGCAGGTATGGGGGAAGAACTGGTATAATCCAAAAGCTGTACCTATGAAATTTATATTTATTAAATAAAAGCTTTAGTTAAAAAAAAAAAAAAAGCTAGTAAGAGGGCCAGCACTGTGATGTAGCAGGTGAAGCTACCGTTTGCAGTGCTGTCATCCCATATGGGCACCAATTTGAGTCCCAGCTGCTCCACTTCTGATCCAGCTCTCTGCTATGGCTTGAAAAAGCAGTGAAAGATGGCCCAAATCCTTGGGCCCCTGTACCTGCATGGGAGACCTGGAGGAAGCTCCTGGCTTCTGGTTTTGGGTCGGTGTAGCTTTAGCCGTTATGGCCATCTTGGAAGTGAATCAGCAGGTGGAAGACCTCTCTCTCTCTCTCTTTCTCTCTCTCTCTCTCTCTGCGTCTGCCTCTCTGTAACTCTGCCTTTCAAATAAATAGATGAATCTTAAAAAAAAAAAAAGACTAGTAAGTATTTCTGTAAAATTTGATAGTCTATGGCAATGGTTTTCGAAGTTTTGTATCAGAACCGTTTTAATTAATTAAAATTTACCTTAGAAGTTTCTATATAATAAGAGACCACTACAGAACTGCTCATTCCTCCTTTTGTTCCTAAGCACTATATAGGCAGGAACAGAGTCTGATTCTTTTTTTTTTAAACTTTTATTTAATGAATATAAATTTCTAAAGTACAGCTTATGGATTACAATGGCTTCCCCCCCATCACGTCCCTCCCACCCACAACCCTCCCCTTTCCCACTCCCTCTCCCCTTCCATTCACAACAAGATTCATTTTCAATTCTCTTTATATACAGAAGATCAGTTTAGCATACATTAAGTAAAGATTTCAACAGTTTGCTCCCACACAGAAACATAAAGTGAAAAATACTGTTTGAGTACTAGTTATAGCATTAAATCTCAATGTACAGCACACTAAGGACAAAGATCCTACATGAGGAGTAAGTGCAGTGACTCCTGTTGTTGACTTAACAAATTGACACTCTTGTTTATGGCATCAGGAATCACCCTAGGCTCTTGTCATGAGCTGCCAAGGCTATGGAAGCCCCCTGAGTTCACCGACTCTGATCATTTTTAGACAAGGCAATGGTCAAAGTGGAAGTTCTCTCCTCCCTTCAGAGAAAGGTACCTCCTTCTTTGATGACCCATTCTTTCCACTGGGATCTCACTCGCGGAGATCTTTCATTCAGGTTTTTTTTTTTCCCCCCCCCGAGAGTGTCTTGGCTTTCCATGCCTGAAATACTCTCATGGGCTTTTCAGCCAGATCTGCATGCCTTAAGGGCTGATTCTGAGGCCAGAGTGCTGTTTAGGACATCTGCCATTCTATGGGTCTGCTGTGTATCTCACTTCCCATGTTGGATCGTTCTCTCCCTTTTTGATTCTATCAGCTAGTATTTGCAGACACTGTTCTTGTTTATGTGATCCCTTTGGTTCTTATTCCTATCATTATGATCAATTGTGAACAGAAATTGATCACTGGGACTAGCGAGATGGCATTGGTACATGCCACCTTGATGGGATTGAATTGGAATCCCCTGGTATGTTTCTAACTCTACCGTTTGAGGTAAGTCAGCTTGAGCATGTCCCGAATTGCACATCTCCTCCTTCTCTTATTCCCACTCTTATATTTAACAGCGATCACTTTTCAGTTAAGTTTCAGCACTTAAGAAGAATTGTGTATTGATTACAGTATTCAACCAAAAGTATTAAGTAGAACAAACAAAAAAAAAATACTAAGAGGGATAACATATCAAGTTGCTCATCAACAGTCAGGGTGAGGGCTGATCAAGTCACCGTTTCTCGTAGTGTTCATTTCACTTTAACAGGTTTCCTTTTTGGTGCTCAGTTAGCTGTCACCTATCAGGGAGAACAAGTGGTATTTGTCCCTTTGGGATTGGCTTATTTCACTCAGCATAATGTTTTCCAAAAACCTAACAGGGATCACTTTTCAGTTAAAATTTAAACACCTAAGAATAATTGTGTGTTAATTACAGACTTCAACCAATGGTACTAGAACAAAAAAAAAATACTAAAATGGATAAAGTATTACATTGTACATCAACCGTCAGGACAAGAGCTGATCAAGTCACTGTTTCTCACAGTGTCCATTTCACTTCAACAATTTTCCCCTTTGGTGCTCAGTTAGTTGTCGCTGATCAGGGAGAACATATGATATTTGTCCCTTTGGGACTGGCTTAATTCACTCAGCATGAACGCGCCCGATCTCGTCTGATCTCGGAAGCTAAGCAGGGTTGGGCCTGGCTAGTACTTGGATGGGAGAGTCTGATTCTTTCATTAGCATACAGCCAGACCTTGGCACTTAGCAAACTCAAGAAATGTTTGAACAGATGAACAAGGTATGCATTTGCAAGAAAAAAAGTGAAAGTCATTAGCATACAGTGATTATACAGTCTAGAACTGGTGTTTTCAGGTTTCTTTTTTTTTTTTAAGATTTATTCATTTATTTGAAAGTTAGAGCTACAAAGAGAGAGGGAGAAACAGAGAGAGACGGAGAGAGATCTATCCACTGGTCCACTCCCAAGATGACCACAACAGCAAGGTGCCAAAACCAGGCACCAGGAGCCCCATCTGGGTCTCCCAAGTGGGTGGCAGGGGACCAAATACTTGAAACATATTTTGTTGCTTTTCCTAGGCCATTAGCAGGGAGCTGAAGCAGAAGCAGAGTAGACAGGACACAAGTAGAGAGCAGCGGCTTCACCTACCACACCACAATTCCAGCCCATCAAGTCTTTTATTATACCTACTTTCAAGAACAACTTCAAGGTAGATTTAATTAAAAATAGACAAGCAGCATAAAAAGTCAGGAAAACCTTTCAAACTAAATACAACATGTCATGCTAAAAGACTCTACTAGAAGTAACAGGACACTCAAAAATATGTAAAATAAAGTCCTTCTCTTCCAGGAGTTTTCCTTTAAGTGAGAAATACAATTAAAAAGATCAATAAAAGAGAAGACTTCATTAATGTAACAAAAGAAAAAGAAAGTTGTATGGAGAATCTGAAAAGGTAAAATAAACTCTAACAGCAAAGAATGGAGGCAGATGTCCAGGAGGAGGCATGATCTGCTTTGACCTCAGAAGTATAAATTCAACAAGAAAGGTACATTTCTTGTAGAGAAAAAATTTAAAAATTGAATGAAAACAGAAAGTACCTCAGGAATAACAAGTGAACTGGACTACAGCTTTAAGCCTGTCATGGTAAAGACAGATACTAGTATGAAGATATATTTAAAACAGTTTAAAAGGCCACAGTTCAACATATGAAACAGTAGTCCATTGATATGCACAGAATAACCCACTTCACTTAAAATTAGCCTACCTTAAGCTATACTCAAATCAAGTGAATACTTACAAGGTCATTCATATTAGTTTGACTAGCTGGATTAATTTCTTCCAAAAATTCCAAGACATAAAATGTGTATCTATCCATAAGATGAACTCCAATTGCAGGATCAGGTTGATGCTATAAGGAAAAAAAATAAATAAATAAAATATATGTTTAATAGTACCTTTGTAACAAAATGTTGAAAATGTAGTAAAAATTTTTCTAAAATGTTGAATAATTCCATGAATAAGAAATAACAAATACATTGAGAAAGCATTTAAGTGACTTCAGAACTGCAGTTCACAAATGGGGAAAAGGCACCTACCGAGAGAGAATCTTCTCCCACTTGACTACTAGCCAGAGCCATTATGTTAGGAGAATAAAATCGCTCATACATGGATGCTCCTTGACAAGTGTCAATAATAAACAGTAGTTCATTGTAGCTGAAAGAAAAGTGATAAGATCTTTGACACGAATCATTCTATCAATCATACACTGAATAATATTTCTATAATACTTTCATAAGATGACTAAGTAATATCTTAATTATCTCTGTAGCTAAGAATTTGAAGAATTTTCACTAGAATTTCCAACATAAATTTGGCATTAGAAAAATTAAAAGTAAAGCACTGTCAACAGAGAGTAGTGGCTGTGCTATAAGTAGCTGCCCCAACTCTTTCCCTCTCCCTTGTCTTTGCCACATGATTCAGAACCTGAACAGTCAGCTCAACAAATACTTATTTTGCAGCTATATTGTCTTAGAAACTAAACTAGGTTCAGAAATATATATATATATAAATATTTTTAGTCACCATACTTAAAGAATTTAAAATGTAACTAGGAGACAAATAAACAGGAATGTGATAAGTATTACAAATATACATTGAAAGTATAACGTGCCTCACACCATGGTAGGGATATAAAAATCTCTGCCCTCATGGAGCTAAGAGACTAACAAAGCTAAAGTGCTCTGTGAGTACTCAGAAAGGAACAGAGGGAACTGGAAAGAAAGGTCAGGGGAAAGTGATAGCTGACAGGCCGTGAAGGGAGAGCACATTCCAGCAGTGGAAAAAGTGCCTGCTGTAGAAAAGTATAAATGTTTGGGAAAAGGACAACAGAGTTCAAACTAAATTTGGATGAATGGAAGGAAATAGGTTTTAAAAAAGGCAAAGTGTAGGGTTAATTTGTAAAATATCCTATATGAAATCTAGAATTTTTTTTACAAGTTTGAGAAAGCCACTTAAACTTTCTTTTTTTAAAAATATTTATTTATTTATTTATTTGAAAGTTAGAGTTACACAGTGAGAAAAGGAGAGGCAGAGAGAGAAAGACATCTTGCATCTGCTGGTTCACTCCCCAAATGGCCTCAACAGCAGGAGCTGCGCAGATCCAAAGCCAAGCCAGGAGCCTGGAGCTTCTTCCAGGTTTCCCGTGTGGGTGCAGGGTCCCAACGACTTGGGCCATCTTCTACTGCTTTCCCAGGCCATAGCAGAGAGCTGGATCGATAGTGGAGAGGCCAGGTCTCAAACCGATGCCCATATGGGTTGCTGGCACTGCAGGCAGCAGCTTAACCTGCTACCCCACAGCGCCGGCCCCAACACTTAAGCTTTTTTTAAGTAAGACGATAACATAATCAGATTTCTAATTTACAGTAAGTTGGCTAGTTAGTGATGGTGAAAAAAGGAAGGAGATAAACATTCCAGGAGGCGCTTTTTATAAGCTGGGTCTAGGTAAACAGCTAGTAACACACCTAGAAGGGATAGCACAGAATACTGAACCACAATATCCAAGAGAGTGACAGAGACACAATTAACATATTTGCTCAGAAACAAATTGTAGAGGCCCTAAATGATCAGAAGAATCCAAAGTTATAAGAGGCAGGGGCCAGCATTGTGGCTCAGCAGGTTAAGCCACTGCTTATAACACCAGCATCCCATCCTGGAGGGTTGGTTCCAATCCAGCTCCCTGCTAATGAGCCTACTAAGGCAGAGTACTTTGGCTCAAGTACATAGGGCCCTGCCATCCTTGCAGGAGACCCGGATGGAGTTCCTGGCTCCTGACTTCAGCCTGTCCCAAACTTGGATGTTGCAGCCATTTAGGGAGTGAACCAGTGGATGGAAGATTCTCTCTCTCTCTCTCTCTCTCTCTCTCTCTGTAGGTGGGTGTGGGTGTGGGTGTGTGTGACTCTGCCTTTCAAATAAAATAAATCTTCAAAAAAAAAAAAAATAAAGTTCTAAAAGGCAATATAATAACACAATTAAGAGTATAGGCTCTGGGATCAGACCACTTAGGCATGAATCCCAGCTGGGGCACTACTATCTGTATAAAGTTTGGCAAGTTACTTAACTTATCTGTCCTTCAGTTTATTCATTACAAAAATAAAAAATAATAACATCTGTCTTTCAGGGTTGCTCTTAAAATTAAACACAGTACGTGTAAAACACAGTCGCTAGTATCTAGTATGCATTCAATAAAGGTAACCTAGACTAAGACATAACCAGAATCTAGTAAAAAGCTTCCTCCTCAACACTTTCACACATTCCACTTATGCTTACATTTCAACATTTATATTTATTTGGTAGCACAGCTGTATATATATTTCTATTTTCCACTAGATTTTAAACACTTCAAACATAGACTAAGCATGACATTCCCCTTTGTACCATATGTATAGAAAGAATTCCATAACTGTTAACCAAAGGTAATGAGGTTAAAAACCACTCTCTTGCTATTTTAAATTCATTTAACTTCATGTTTATGACAACTTCCAACTAAAGGGATACTTATTGAGGATTAATATAAATATATTAACCTTAATGTGAGTTAAGCCACAAATTTTAAGCTAATCATAATGTTAGCAATTTTCTCTCAAAGAATTAATAACACTTGCTACTACACTGAGGACTACAAAACATGCTAAAAAGAATAGGCACAAGCTGAAAAATACACGGATGTTCAGAATATCCATAAATAATAGAGAACTTGCCTGAAGGGACTCTTATTTCCTTCAGAAAAACAATGCTGGAGGCCAGTATTGTGGTGCAGCAGGTTAAGCTGCCACCTGAAATGCTGGCATACCATATGGGCACCAATTCTAGTCCTAGCTACTCCAATTCTGGCCCAGCTACCTGCTAATGTGCCTGGTAAAGCAGCAGAAGATGGTCCAAGTAATTGGGCCCCTGCTCCCACATGGGAGACCTGGAGGAAGCTCTTGACTCCTCTCTTCATCCTGGACCCACCATGGCCATTGCAGCCATTTGGGGTGTGAGCCAGCAGGTGGAGGATATCTCTCTCTCTCTCTCTCTCTCTCTCTCTCTCTCTCTCTGTAACTCTTTCAAAGAAATAAGTAAATCTTTAAAAAAAAAAAAAAAATGCTAAATAACAAGAGATTCTGTCATGTTAATAATAAGCCTGAGATTTTTCTCTTAAAAAATTCAGTTAAGTAGAAACAAGAAATTTAAAAGAGCCGGCGCCGTGGCTCAACAGGCTAATCCTCCGCCTTGCGGCGCCAGCACACCGGGTTCTAGTCCCGGTCCAGGCGCTGGATTCTGTCCCGGTTGCCCCTCTTCCAGGCCAGCTCTCTGCTGTGGCCCGGGAGTGCAGTGGAGGATGGCCCAAGTCCTTGGGCCCTGCACCCCATGGGAGACCAGGTACCTGGCTCCTGCCATCCGATCAGCACGGTGCGCCAGCCCCAGCACGCCGACCGCGGCGGCCATTGGAGGGTGAACCAATGGCAAAGGAAGACCTTTCTCTCTGTCTCTCTCTCACTGTCCACTCTGCCTGTCCAAAAAAAAAAAAAAAAAGAAAGAAATTTAAAAGAGTAGGACAGATAATGAAAATAAGTTAAAATACTAATAAAAGCTACAAATCAGGGCCAGCACTGTAGTACAGTGGCTTGCAGCACCGCATCCCATATGGGTGCCAGTTCGAGTCACGGTTGCTCTACTTCTGATCCAGCTCTCTGCTGATACACCTGGGAAAAGCAGAGGAGGATAGCTCAAGTCCTTGGCCCCTACATGCACATGGGAGACCCTGAGTAGGCTCCTGGTTCCTGGCTTCAGATTGGCTCAGCTCTGGCCCTTGCGGCTATTTGGGGAGTGAACCAGTGGATGGAAGACCTTTCTCTCTCTGTCTGTCTCTACCTCTCTCTGTAACTCTGTCTTTCAAATAAATAAAAAAAAATCTTTAAAATAAATAAATAAATACAGCTAATACAGCTACAAATCTACCAAGGGGAAACAATATTAATTTTCCTTTAAAAAAAAGTCATTGCTAATTACCGTCTTTTCTGCCACATTTGTTCAAAAGCATCTGCAAGTTCTATGTTGGTAATTTCTTCAGAATCTTGAAATTTCAAGAAACCATTTCCACCATGTCCTGGTAGAAAGAGTCAAAAAGATCAAGTAGATACATTTTTAAATGTAAATTACATATTCCCAGATACAAACATCTATTTATTTGCAGTATTTAATATAATTTTAATACTCTAAAATATCTATTATGAAAACAAATAGCTTTTCTATTATACCAATTCAAAAGAAAATAGTGATAGCCTGTGTAAAAAATATTAGATAGAATATCTCTAAGGGTTTTCAATCATGTAATTCCAGCAATTCACATTTCTACACTTCCACTAGCTCTATTATTATATAAGAAATTTACTCCATTCATAAAAACTTTTCAATTCCAGGCAAATTTTTTTAACAAAAGAAGATAAGACTCCAGTCAGTCCCATGGTAAGCTAGAATAATTCCTTATGTATAATTTGACTACTATTACTACCAGGAAGTGCAGTTCTCACCTAAATCTGATGTCATTATTACCGCTGACCATAGCCCCAGGAGAGTTATTCAGAAGACTGACATTTAAGTATACATTATACAGCCAGTCTACCAATTCAAACCCCTGTCCCTTACTGGGTTATGGTAGGCAAATAATCATTGTATACATTTGTTTCCTCAGTCATGAAGTAAGAAAGGTATCAGCAAGACTACCATCAACTTAAGTATATATCTGCTCTGTGCAGATTTTTAAAAGCACCATCCACTGGGCATCAAAGTAGGAAAAACTGCCTATTGTAGCATTTCCCTCTGCATATATGCAAGCTCATAAGTAGTTAGTAACTCTGCTTTGGTTGGGGGAAAATATTACTCTCTCCCACCAAATACATAACCTGCTGGGTCACAAAAAACTTCACCTCAAAATAGGCAGCCAATTCATGGGCACAGTTTATCAAACCCTATTTTAACCTACTGAATTTCTTCCATTTGTAAAGTTATTCTGAAAGAGTACCAACAGGATCAGAAAAAAAAAATTATAAATCCTTTAGTTTATGCATTGAATAAAATCAAGCTATAAAACTACACTTTCAGATAAAGTCAAATGAAAATTCTCTTGGTTTCATTAATTCTACTGAGTGAATTCATAAATAAGTTGATTTTATATATATATATATATATATATATATATATATATATATTGACAGGCAGAGTTAGACAGTGAGAGAGAGAGGCAGAGAGAAAAGTCTTCCTTCCATTGGTTCACCCCCAAAATGGCCGCTACAGCTGGTGCACTGCACCAATCTGAAGCCAGGAGCCAGGTGCTTCCTCCTGGTCTCCCATGCGGGTGCAGGGCCCAAGCACTTGGGCCATCCTCCACTGCCTTCCCAGGCCACAGCAGAGAGCTGGACTGAAAGAGGAGCAACCTAGCCGGCACCGCGGCTCACTTGGCTAATCCTCCGCCTGCAGCACCGGCACACCGGCATCTAGGGTCAGTTCAAAACAGATTTGGATCATGGTTGCCCCTCTTCCAGGCCAGCTCTCTGCTATGGCCTGGGAGTGCAGTGGAGGATGGCCCCAGTGCTTGGGCCCTGCAGCCGCATGGGAGACCAGGAGAAGCACCTGGCTCCTGCCTTCGGATCGGCCTGGGGCGCTGGCTGCAGCGGCCATTGGAGGGGGAACCAACGGCAAAGGAAGACCTTTCTCTCTGTCTCTCTCTCTCACTGGAGGGAGGGAGGGAGGGAGGAAGGAAGGAAGGAAGGAAGGGGAGTAACCGGGACACAATCCAGCACCCCAACTGGGACTAAAACCCAGGGTGCCGGTGCCACAGGCAGAGGATTAGCCAAGTGAGCCGCAGCGTCAGCCAGTTGATCATATTTTAAAAAACATGAACATTATAAAGAAAAGTCACTAACTAGGAGACCATTACTGTCCTGTAGTGATATCACTGTGATATCTAAGAGTCATCCTGCAGCTATTTCACATCAGTTTTTAATCATCAATTATACAGAATTCCCTATTAAAAAATGTATGAACATCTTTTGATAAATATGAGAGTACTTCAAAAGTTCATGGAAAGTGGAATTAAAGCCAAGTTTGCATTGATGCAAAAAACTTCTATAAACCATGCATAATTTTCTCTTAATATATAGTTTTCAAAAAATTTTTGGAGAACTCTTAATGCATAGATCTTGAGAACATTTTCTGCAACATAAGGAACATATATTTTAATTCAACTTCCTATGAACTTTTTAAAATATTTTCATATTCAAATTTATTGAATACTACCATAAGACAGGCATTGGTAATAAAAAGATAAAAAAACATATAATCAAAGAATCTTAGAATTCAAAACATGCAATGAAGGCAAAATAAACCCAAATAGAAAGTTAAATGGATTGCTATGACAGAACTAAGGATTATACGACAATGCAAAGAGGAAAGCCTACGGCAACCAAAAAGACAAATGTCTTTGGGAAGTCAATTATAAAATGTATTATTCATACCAGAACACTTCTGAAGGAGAACAAAGGAAATTACACTTGGACAACAGTATAAACTAGGAGTATCCCAGGTAACTGGAGACAAAGGTCACCTTAGATTTAAAAAAGAAATCGCTGGGGGAGAGGTCGGGGTGTTGTGGCATAGCGGGTAAAGCCGCTGCCCGTAGTATCCCATACGGGTGCCAGTTTATGTCCCGGCTGCCAATCCAGCCCTCTGCTATGGCCTGGGAAAGCTGTGGAAGATGGCCCGAGTGCTTGGGCCCTGCACCAGGGTGGGAGACGATACAGCTCTGGTTGCTGCAGCCATCCTAGGAGTAAACCAGCAGATGGAAGACCTCTCTTCACATATTTCTTGCTCTCACTCTCTCTCTCTCTCTCTCTCTCTCTCTCTCCCTCTGCTTCTCTTTAACTCTTTCAAATAAATAAATAAACCTTAAAAAAAAGAAATAAAGAAAAAAGAAATCACTGGGGCTGGTACTGTGGCTTAGCGGGTTAAGCTGCTGCCTGTGACACCACTATCCCACATAGCCACTGGCTCAAGACCCATCTGCTCCATTTCTGATCAAGACTAATGTGCCTGGGAAAGCAGCAGAGGATGGCCCAAGTTCTTGGGTACCTGCACCTACACAGGAGACCCAGAAAAACTCCTGGCTCCTGCCTTCTGTCTGGCCTAACCCTGGCCACTGGAGCCATTTGGGGAGTGAACTGGTAGATGGAAGAGTGTCTTTTTCCCTCTCCCTCTCCCTCTCTCTGCCTCTCTCTCTCTCTCTCTCTCTCTCTAACTCCTTCAAATATATAAAATAAATCTTAAAAATAAAATAAGAAATCACTGAGCTAGGGGCTAGCACCGTGGCTCACTTGGTTAATCCTCCGCCTGTGGCACCGGCATCCCATATGGGTGCCAGGTTCTAGTCCCAGTTGCCCCTCTTCAAGTCCAGCTCTCTGCTGTGGCCCGGGAAGGCAGTGGAGGATGGCCCAGGTGCTTGGGCTCCTGTACTACATTGGGAGACCAGGAAGAAGCACCTGGCTCCTGGCTTTGGAGTGGCGCAGTGCCAACTGTAGCAGCCATTTGGAGGGTGAACCAATGAAAGGAACACCTTTCTCTCTTTCTCTCTCTCACTATCTATATCTCTACCTGTCAAATAAATTTAAAAAAAAAAATCACTGAGCTAACACTAAAAAAGATAAGGAATAATCAATCAGTTAGACAGAGAACTGAGAGGACATCATTAGGAAAAGGCAGTTGCTTAAGCACATGTTTGGAGAACAGGATAGTCAAGTGCTTGAAGGGGAATCAGGAAAAGCATAAGAACTAAAACTGAAATTAAATAAACAATATAACTAAATCATAACATGTATTATACACTATTATACTAGATTTATATATATAACTATATTATATTATATTATATTATATTATATAACTAGATTATATTACAGAGCATTTGATCACCACTATTTCTCAAAGGGTAGTCAAAAGACTACTATAGCTCATATGTTACATCTCACATCTGGGGAGTATGTGTATACAATGCACTTTCATGAGTCCTACTCCAAAACAAAACTGAATACAAATTTTAACATAAGGCCAAAGTATCTACACTCAAGTAATCCTTAATCATACTAAAATCTGTGGCTCAGTCGGTAGGAAATCATTATAAAGCTTTACGCAGAGGAGGGTCAGAGTTCCAGTTTCTACTAAACACTTTAGGAAGATGATTAACAGGAAAATAAACCTGAAGGCAGGTTGTTACACTAGGATATCAAATAAAAGATGACAAACTTTATCAGTGCAACAGTAAAAATAACAGAAAATAGGAATAGCACACAAAGACATAGAAGTTGTGTATCCTTTACCAGAAATGCTTAGGACCACAAGTATTTGGGGTTTCAGATATTTTCAGATTTTGGAGTATGTGTGTATACATGAGGTATCTTGATAATAAGGACATAGTTTCATATACACCTTTCATACATATATAGCCTGAAGGTCATTTTATACTGTATTTTTATATGTACCTGCATTTTTACTACAATTATTCATATGAAGTCAGGTGTGCAATTTTCTACTTGTGGCATCATATTGGAGCTCAAAAAGGTTCAGATTTTGGAGCAGTTCAGACTTCTGATTTTCAGATTCAGGATTTTCAACTTGTACTATATTCAAATGCCATTTCAAGTAATACTGTATCTATAGGAGTGAATTGACACTTTGAGATGCCATGATTTTTAACAGCCCTTACCTTGACTGTTGAGGACAGCATTTTTTTCCTTCTTATTATTTGTTGAAATCTTAGTGTATGGTTAATCTTATGAGCATAAAGTTAACTGAAAATAGATCTTTGAAAAAATAAGAATAGGAATAGGAGAGGGAAGAAGAAGTAGGTTGGAAGCATGGGCAAGAGGGAGGGTAGGGTGGAAAGTATCACTACGTTCCTGAACCTTATGTAGGAATTACATGAAATTTGTAAAATCTTAAATAAAGTTTTTTTTAATCAAGATACAGCCTCTGAACATGAAAAAACTGACATGACAAATAAAATATTTTAATCAAAAAATAACTTAGTGTACTTAAATTTCTCTCCAAGCAGATTTGCTTTGAAAAGAATTTCAATATATTCTATTATGAGATCACCAAATCCCAAAGTTACCTGTCATATAAATAAGAATATTGCTTCTATCATCAGAAAGAAGGCGTTTTGACCGAGGAGTACTAGGTGGGATCCTCCCAGTTAGCACCCGTAAAAAATTCTCCACTGTTACCTGGGGAGAAAAAGAGAAATCAGACAGGAAACTTGGAAAAAAATTTTTTTTTAATTTCAAAAACATTCCTTCAGAAGCTGGCATTGTAGTGCTGTGGCTTAAGCTGCTGCTTCCAATACCATGGGATGCCAATTCACGTCCCAGTTGTTCCACTTCCAAACCAGCTCCCCATTAACCCTTGGAAAGGCAGAGAAAAATGATTCATATACTTAGGCCCCTGTCATCCACATTGGAGACCCAGATGGGGTTCCTGGTGACTGGCTGCAGCCTGACCCAGACATGGCTGTTGCCACCCTTTGAGAAGTTAACAGTGGATTGAAGTTCTCTCTCTGTCTGTCTGTCTGTCTCTCTCTCTCTGTCTCCCTTTCTCTCTCTTTGTTGCTCACAATAAATAAATAAATCTTTAAATAACTAAAAAATTAAATAAATAATCTTTAAATAAATAAATTTTTTGAAAAAAATCCTCTTTCTCTATGAATTACTCAGCCTATACTAAAATGCAGAGAGACAGGACAGAGAAAGCTCTTCCATCTTTGGTTCACTCCTCAAATGCCCAGAACAGCCCGGAGAGAGCCAGGCCCAAGCCAGGAACACAGAACTCCATCTGGGTCTCCATCATAGGTGGCAAGGACCCAAGTACCTGACTTAGCACCAGCTGCCTCCCAAGGTGTGCATTACCCAGAAACTGGAATCAGAAGCAAAGACACAACTCAAATGCAGGCATTCCAATACAGGAGGCAGGCATCCCAAGTATAAAGATGTCTCAAAGCAATGCCTCAATCGTTATACTAAAAAGCTGCCCCCAAATATAAGAATTTGTAAATAAATTCAGCTACATTATTGCAATTTTTCTGTGGAACAACTTGGTCAATTATAGATTAACTATTAAAAAGAAAATTTCATAAATAATCTTCCAAGACTTTATTTTTTAAAGCACTGTATTACTTTGTATCTGTAACATGTAAAGAACTTATAACACTTTAAATCACATTTACCAGTCTGAAATTTTTAGCCCAAGATTCTTCGAAGGCATTTTTAAACTCAGGAAGAGTAAAATGCTAATTTAAAGTGAACAGCCAAGTCATATATTATGCATATCTAAATTTTAGAAACCTCACCAGTTTTCTTGCTGAACTTTTTCCTAGATCATGGTTATGTAAATGTGTATGTATATACGTGTGGCTGAGTAAGCTGCTGAATTTACATTTTTCCACAAAATAGCAAAATGCCAACTGTTTTAATAGAACTTCCTGTTGACTAACAAAAAAGGAAGGGAAATTTTTGGCTTACATTTTAAGATAACTAGATAAACAAGTAAATAATTAAACATTCACATAAAATTAATTCATTGAACATTTTTAAGTGCCTACAATAAAAATATTAAGAATACAGGCCATGTTTTCAAGGAACTGGGCAGCATAGGAAGAAACAGGTACCTTTTAATTTTAAGGTTGCTTCAAAAGAAATCTAAAAATGCAGAAGAAAAACTGTTGCTTTTGGCAGACTTTGTAAAAGGTGAGGAATTATCTGGAAAGATTTCAAATTTTAAACATACCCAAAATTATTAAATTTAAAATAAAATTCCAAAGCAAGAAAATATAGCATACTGACATTTTCTTAATTTACAGTTTTAATCATATACACATAAAAATATTGAAAATATTAAAGATGGTTATCACTAAGTAGTGGAAATAGGGGTGGGTTTTTTGTTAACCATTATACTTTGTCACAACGTATGTACTAAAAATAATAAACTTCAAATTTTAGATCAAATATAAAAAACAAACATTATACTTGCTATAAAAGAAAGTTCACAAATGAAACATCACTAAAATTTTATAGACGTAGGACCAGCACTGTTGTGTAGCGGGTAAGGTCACTGCCTGCAATACTGGCATCCCATATGGGCACCAGTTTGAGTCCCAGCTGCTCCACCTCAGATCCAGCTCTCAGTTGTGGCCTGAGAAAGCAGTAGAAGATGGCCCAAATACTTGGGCCCCTGTACCTGCATGGGAGACCTGGAGGGCTCTCCTGGTTCCTGGCTTTGGATCAGCCTAGCTCCAGCCATTCCAGCCATTTGAGGAGAGAACCAGTGGATGGAAGACCTCTCTCTCTCTCTCTCGCTCTCCTTTCTGCCTCTGCCTCTGCCTCTTTGTAACTCTGCCTTTCAAGTAAATAAATAAATCTTTAAAAAAATACATAGAAGCAAATATAATGTTCATTCTTTAACAGTTTTATTCATTTATTGCTTCTTTAACTTGAACTCCATAGAGAATCAAGGATAAAAATTAAGATTAAGGAAAAGAGTGGGGCTGGCACTGTGGAGCAGCGGGTTAACACCCTGGCCTGAAGCACCGGCATCCTATATGGGCTCTGGTTCAAGATCCGGCTGCTCCACTTCTGATCCAGCTCTCTGCTATGGCCTGAGAAAGCAGTAGAAGATGGCCCAAGTCCTTGGGCCCCTGCACCCACATGGGAGACCCAGAGGGAAGATCCTGGCTCCTGGCTTCAGATCAGCACAGCTCCAGCTGTTGTGGCCAATTGGGGAGTGAACCATTGCATGGAAGATCTCTCTTTCTCTCTCTCCCTCTCTCTTTCTCTCTTTGTTTCTCCTCTCTCTGTGTAACTCTGACTTTTAAATAAATCAATACATCTTAAAAAAAAAAAAAAAACACTGTATTTCATGTAAAGAGCCTGTTTAAAAAAAAAAGAGTAACAAAACTCTTTTTTGAAATTTGTAGTTCTATTTTTAAAATTTTTTCTATGTTTACATTTATTAATATAAAGAGAACAGATTTCATGTATTTCATAGATACAATTCTACAAATATAACCCTCCTGCTTTCCTTCCCTCCCTCTTTCTTCCTTTCTTTTTTAATTTTTTGTAATAACACACTTAAAATTTACTTCATAATTAGAGGCTTGATGATCCTCTAAAGAGATCAACAAGTAAAAAGTAGAAAGACCACTGTTCTTCAGGAATATAGACATGGGCTATAAACAACAATCAAATCACAAGATGCCAATTAAGCAACCACAAATCAGAGAAAACATATGATATCTGTCTTTTGGAGACTGGCTTATTTCACTAAGTATAATGGTTTTCAGTTGCATCCAGTTTTGTTGCAAAAAATCGGATTTTATTATTTTTTAACAGCTGAGCAATACTCCTTAGTGTATATATGCCATATTTTCTTTATCCAATCATCAGTTGATGGACATCTAGGTTGATTCAACATCTTAGCCATTGAGCTACTACAAACATGGGGGTACAGATAACTCTTTCATATGCTGACTTCATTTCCTTTGTTTATATTCCCAGGAGTGGGATGGCTGGGTCATATGGTAGATCTAAGACAATTTTATATTACCACTGTTTCAGAGCTTAACGTAACAATATTTCAAAAATGTCACTAAATTAAACAATTTACCTCATAGCTTCTATAATCCACTTCCACATCATCTCCATACACATTTAGCTCCATATTTTTGTGACTAAACACAGTAGCTGGTTTCGGGTTTCTAGGGTTGCATGCCATATCATCTGCAAGCATTAGGACAATGTGACTAAGGAAAAAAAAAATTCCAATAAATATACCCTTTAAATAAAACCAAAAAGTTAAACGCATAAGTATATTTATGTCATGTGCAATGATATCAATTTTCCTCATCAAATAAGTAAAATTTTTGCTACATACTTAAAAAAGTATTTCAATTATTTTTTCTTATCAGCATGAAGTGTTAAAGTAGAGAAGTTAAGGCAACATGGCATTAACTTTATCACAGAACAGGAAGTTACTACAGAGTATACTTTCTGTCATACAGCAAAAGGAAGTTAAAAGTACAATAATGTCTTCCCTGAACATCTAAAAAAATATTTTTGGTAATATTTTGCACTCTCAAATCTTGCAGAGTCCACACTAAACCACAATGTTCCAAAGAACCCCAAATGTTTAGGTATGAAAATGTGTAATCAGCAAGCGTGACCAGTGTAGCACAAGAACCCATCTCCAATCCAATCATTACCCAAGTCCCACTCCATCTCCCTAATACTAGCCTGCTCTTTCTCCCCCTTTCTTTTTTCCACATTCTCCCTGTTAGTTCATTCTCCCTATAGTCACAAAGTGATCTTCCTTTAGAAAGTCAAAACATTAAATATTTAAAACGTTCCAGGCTGGCGCCGCGGCTCAGTAGGCTAATCCTCCGCCTTGCGGCGCCAGCACACCGGGTTCTAGTCCCGGTCAGAGCACCAGATTCTGTCCCGGTTGCCCCTCTTCCAGGCCAGCTCTCTGCTGTGGCCCGGGAGGGCAGTGGAGGATGGCCCAGGTCCTTGGGCCCTGCACCCGCATGGGAGACCAGGAGAAGCACCTGGCTCCTGCCTTCGGATCAGCGCAGTGCACCGGCCTCAGCGTGCCAGCCGCGGCGGCCACTGGAGGGTGAACCAACGGCAAAGGAAGACCTTTCTCTCTGTCTCTCTCTCTCACTGTCCACTCTGCCCGTCAAAAAAAAAAAAAAAAAAAACAAAACAAAACAAAAAAACGTTCCAAGGACTCCCCATTATAATTAATACAATATATCTGAAATAATTTACACTGTCTAAAAAACTCATTCAATCTGATCTCTCTCTCTCCAATTTCACCACTACATTTACTGTGCTCTCCCACACATATTCCTTCTGTTCCAGGAATATGCTAACCCTTCGGAACTACTGACCAAATCTAAATCTCTCTCCTCTTACATTTTCTTATCATTCCAATTAGCTAGGGCACTCTATTTCGTGTGTTTTATTCTCTATAGAACATTTATCAATATAAAAATCATCATTTCTGGGGTCAGCACAGTGGTACAGTAGATTAATCCTCCGCCTGAGGCGCCAGCATCCCGTATGGGTGCCGGTTCTAGTTCTGGCTGCTCTTCTTCCAATCCAGCTCTCTGCTGTGGCCTGGGAAAGCAGTAGAAGATGGCCCAAGTCCTTGGGCCCCTGCACCAGCACAGGACCAGGAAGAAGACCTGGCTCCTGGCTTCAGATCAGCACAGCTCCAGCTGTTGCGGCCATTTGGGGAGTGAACCAATGGAAGGAAGACCTTTCTCTCTGTCTCTCGCTCTCACCATCTGTAACTCTACCTCTCAAATAAATACATAAAATCTTAAAAAAAAAATCATTTCTCACCAGCAAGCCATCAAAATATAACCTCCCTAAGGACAGAGACTTTATTTGTCCTACTCACCACTACAACACTTAGACTTAGTAATATATCTTGGTATACAGAAGATACTCAATAAATATTTTAAGTGAATGAAACATTTTCATTTTTGCATATAATTTCTTTAAAAGGAAATTACAAAATATCTCTTAAACACAAGTCATCTGGAGCCTATCATTAAACCTGGTGAACATGAATCAAATTCTTTGTTCTATCATATTTTCTAATATAACATGGAAGAAAACTCCCAAACATAAGAGAAAAATTAATGTGGCATATGTAATTACTTTGGCAAGAAGAAAATGTTCTACTGCATATGGTCCAAATACATTAAAGTTCAAAACTGAAACATTGTGATTTTTCTTGAAAACTGGCTAGATTTCTATTTTGAAAGCATTCCAACCCTGCCACATTCAAAGATCAGATCTTCAGCTGTTACTGATTCATACTCACAAGATGGTGAACGTTATTACTCTTAAAATGGAAATTATATTTCCTTTTTTAAAACTTAAGGAGATCACTAATTTGCATTAAGATGTTATCAATCATATTTTTTATTGTTAAACAAAACTGGACTGATCTCCCGATATCAATGAGTATTCCTTTAGGGTACAGTTTTTGTGGGAGGTTAATTTTACTCTATCATTAAATGATAATTAAATATCTATGCAATGTCAACATCAAAAATAAGAGGCAAATTCATAATTCAATCAACATTTTTCCTGAAGATGATTTTGAGCCTCAGTATAAGTAACACATAGTGATCTTTAACTAACATAGTCAATATATCATTAAAAATCATTATATTCATAATATGGATAAAGGAAAAACAAGCCAGGAAAAAGAATGGATTTCAAAAGTTTAGCATGTTCCAATTCACTGTTTCTGAAGCTTAAGAAATGTTCAGAACTCTTTTCTAGAGAAAAACAAAATTCTTATTCGAGTGTTAAGTTATTTGTATAATGGTATTTTTTTTTTTATTTTTGACAGGCAGAGTGGACAGTGAAAGAGAGAGACAGAGAGAAAGGTCTTCCTTTGCCATTGGTTCACCCCCCCCAAGTGGCCGCCGCAGCCGGCACACCACGCTGATCGGGAGCCAGGAGCCAGGTGCCTCTCCTGGTCTCCCATGCGGGAGCAGGGCCCAGGGACTTGGGCCATCCTCCACTGCACTCTCGGGCCACAGCAGAGAGCTGGACAGGAAGAGGAGTGACTGGGACAGAATCTTGCACCCCGACCGGGACTAGAACCCGGGGTGCCATCACCGCAGGTGGAGGATTAGCCTACTGAGCCGCGGTGCCGGCCTGTATAATGGTATTTTAAATATATACAAGCAAGTAAATTAATTATTCTTATAGTTCTCATAAAGTTATAGACCAGATAAAATTCTAAATTAAATTCTATCAAAACTACCAAACTAATAATAATGTAAAAGCAGTAAGCCTATTTGAAAGATTATGTTATTTTGGTAAAACTAAATGACTACTGTTCATATTGAACAGGCAGCTTCAAGTCTGATTCCATATTTAATTTTCCCTGTATTTTACTGTTTACACTACAAATATAATGTGATGATATCGAAAATGTCTGTACATGGGGCCAGTGCTGTGGCAAAGCAGATTGAAGCCCTGGCATACAGCGCTGGCACCCCATATGTGTGCCAGTTTGGGGCCCGGCTGCTCCATTTCCAATCCAGTTCCCTGCTAATGCACCTGGGGAAGCAGCGGAGGATGGTCCAAATCCCTGAGCCCCTGCGCTCATGTGGGAGTACTGGAGGAAGCTCCTGGTTCCTGACTTCGGATCAGCTCAGCTCAGGCATAGCAGCCACTTGGGGAATGAACCAGAGGATGGAACACCTCTCTCTCTCTCTACCTCTCTTTGTGCTATAACTCTTTCAAATAAATTTTTAAAAATTAAAAAAGAATGCCTGTTCACAAAAGTATGTTGTACAATATGCAATTCCTAACTTCCAGTCTCTGCTTACTATTCATGGAAAATCAAATATTCTATTTAAATAAGCATTTGCCAGGAAAAATTCTTTGAAAGCCAATCATTATGAGCTCTCACTTGATGACTCCTTAAAGTGTCTTTTACACTTATGTATCAGGTTAGCATCACAGCAGTTATTTAAGTCTGCACTTATATGGATATCAAATAAATCTGCTGAAATCAAGCAGCAAAACAAAAAAAACTACACTGATACATTCCCATAAGTAACAACAAGTTTCTTTCTATCTCAGTAAATTAAGAAAACAACCCTCCCCAAACACATCTAATAGATGCAAGAAAATTACATTCTTACAGTTTGGCAAATCTGCTTATCGTATTTGATGATTCAACTCACACTTCATTCTCAACCCCCTACAAAACCTACTTCACACAACAAAGCATATGCAATATGGCCTTCTCTCAACACAAAACCAAAAGAGAAGTGAACACTCAAAGTGTATGGCAACTTCAGTTACACAGCAATTATTTGCACATTTTTTTAAACCGTTAAAAGAAAATCATGTGAACATACCCGTATGTATCTGTCTTATGTATTTACTACTTTAAATACACACACACACACACACACACACACACACAAACACTAGTGAAGCATAACTTTTTTTAAACAAACATTTTTTAAAATTGCTAATATTTTCTTCCTTTACCACTATTTGGTAACTGACCCGACTGGGACTAGAACCCGGTGTGCCGGCGCCGCAAGGCAGAGGATTAGCCTAGTGAGCCGTGGCGCCGGCCCTGATGATGATCTTAAAAACATCTGAGGTTGGGCGGTCAGGTTGGTGGTCAGGGCGCCGGATTCTGTCCCGGTTGCTCCTCTTCCAGGCCAGCTCTCTGCTGTGGCCCGCGAAGGGAGTGGAGGATGGCCCAAGTGCTTGGGCCCTACATCCCATGGGAGACCAGGAGAAGCACCTGGCTCCTGCCTTCGGATCAGCGCGGTGCGCTGGCCGCAGCGCAACGGCCGTGGCGGCCATTGGAGGGTGAACCAATGGCAAAGGAAGACCTTTCTCTCTGTCTCTCTCTATCACTATCCACTCTGCCTGTCAAAAAAAAAAAAAAAAAAAAGATCATCTTCCGTATGAAAATGACATTTTTTTAATTTGACAGGTAGGGTATAGACAGTGAGAGAGACAGAGAGAAGTCTTCCTTCCATTGGTTCACTCCCCTAATGACCCGCGCTGCACTGATCCGAAGCCAGAAGCCAGGTGCTTCCTTCCGGTCTCCCATGCGGGTGCAGGAACCCAAGCACTTGGGCCACTCTCCACTGCCCTCCAGGGCCACAGCAGAGAGCTTGACTGGAAGAGGAGCAACCGGGACTAGTACCCAGTGCCCCAACCGGGACTAGAACCCGGGGTG